ACCGGTATCGTGTGCACGACGGTCTACTGTTTTACAGCGCTGTAGACAACGATGCGGGACGCATTGTCGTGCCGAATGATCCTGACCTGCGCAGAAGGATCATGCACGAGTATCACGATGTCCCCACGGCAGGACATCTGGGACGTGGGAAGACGTATTCTCTTCTCACGAGAGATTACTACTGGAACCGCCAGTACAAGTGGGTGCGCAAGTACGTACGTACTCGCGATGTTTTCCAGCGAGTGAAGCCAGCACCTCACTCGCAGGCTCCTTTGTAACCACTGCATACTCTGTCGGAGTGTTGGGAGTCCGTTTCGATGGACTTCGTTTTTGGTCTTCCGCGCGATTCCAGGTGTAAGACTGGTATTGTGGTCTTTGTTGACCGCTTCAGCAAGATGGTGCTTCTTGCTGCCGTCGCAGCGGAGGTGACCTCCGTACAGACGGCACGTCTGTTCGTTGACATGGTGTTCAAGCACCATGGCATGCCCAACGCCTTTGTGTCGGACCACGATCCGCGCTTCACGGCGCGTTTCTGGCAAGAAGTGTTCACACTTCTTGGAACGCAGTTTTCAATGTCGACTGCGGATCAGCCGCAGACGGACGGGCAAACCGAGCGCATGAACCGCGTGCTCGTGGACTTGCTGAAGAGCTACGCCCAGTCGTTTCACAACTGGAGCGACTACTTGCCAATGACCGAGTTCGCCATCAACAACGCGGTTCATGCCTCGACCGGGCATACACCGTTCTTCGTGAACGTTATGCGGCATCCATGCCTCCCGAGCACGCTCGGGGCGGTGGCTTCCTCCTTAAGTGGGGGAGGATCTACGGTTGTGCTCGAACAACCGCAGAATACAGCATGTGGTGTCGGGTTTCCTGCAAAAGCGACTTGCCGGTGCGAGTGCTGTGCTGGTGACTTACACGGACCTATGGGAGCCGCCGTTGGATGTTCTCAGTCAATAAACAGTGACCCACACAACCGGACTTTACCGGACTACTCGTGACCAACGTTCGTAGGTCCCTTTATAAGGACCTCCAACCCGCCAAGTCACTATATCGGGAGTTGAGTACGACACACCAGATGACCCGTAGTTGAGATACGCACTTAGGCGAGTCATCGTCGGGTGATTGATCGAGTCGTCGTTAGCCGTTTGCGAGTCGTTAGCTTAGTTGCATTTATACTTGATATTGGTATACGCTATAGTAGGAGTTAGGGCTA